ACCATTTTCGTAAAAACAAAAACTCAGTTATTTCAAAAACAAAGATGGCGTGGGGCGTTCAATTGTTTTCGCAATAACCTGCTTTACTTCTTAACCGTTGGACCGATTTTAACAAATTTGGTATCGTTGAAAAGAGCAGACCTTGGGCAATAGGAATCAACTAAAATATAGTTAATTTAGTTGAATCCTCCAGGGGGCTAGTTTTGACATTATGACCCAAAATCCTAAAAAAATTAAAAAAATCTAAAGAGGCCAGGGAAAACCGTTTTTCAAAATCTCGTTCCTTACCTCAAATATTGGGAAAATGAGATTATTTAATTAATTAATTAACAAAAATGTTTAAGTTGTATCTTAAATTTACTTTTGACGTATTTCCGGTATTTGTCGATGGCGCGAAAGATTGTTTGGAAAAGCACCAAACACTTTTAGGTAGGCCTTAGAAAATTAGAGAAATGAAGCACGATGCATTATAAAATAATAACAGCCGTAATTTGTAAATTATTCTGCTGTGTTTGTTTACATTCAAGTGCAGTTTTTTGAATTTGTAATCTTTTTTAAAATGCCGATTTCAAACCAAGAAGCATTTAATATGCGACATTTCTGGCCTCTTTGGGATGATATTTGGCGACTTTTTCACAAAGAAAAAGTCATAATTCCATTTAATATTTTTAAATTTTTTTAGGATTTTGGATCATAGGGTCAAAACTAGCCCCCTGATGGAGAAGGATTCAACTAAATTAACTATTGATTCGTTATTGTTTTATTTCTGACATGTTCAATTAACTACACGCAAAATTAGATTACTCACACTTTGTAACGCGAAGGCCCAATCTTCAAATGACTATAACTTTTGTTTGAAAAGTGATATAAAAAACTGTTCCACAATTTTGTTGCTTAACTCATCAAGTATGTACACAGCAAATTTCGTAGAATTCTCTCCATTTTCATTGGCCGACCAAGAATTGCAGTAGAATTTTATTTTCTAATGTTCAAAAACCAGTTTCATATTCGTGATTTTCATGTTCAAAAACCCCCAGATACCAAAAGTTTTTTCGCACCATCATTTAGGGGTGCGCCCTTTCATGGTAGAAATTTTCAAAAAAAAATTTTGCAAAATCGGAAAAGGCATACTACAAAACCTACTCAAAGACGTGCCACCAGTCTTTGAACTCTTATGGATGTGGAGCAATATATTAAACAAGAAGTGAAAATTTCACCACTTTTGTGGGGGTGGCTCCCAAGCGAAACACGTTGGACTCTCGGTTTATTTGGAAAAAGTGCTTATTTGATCTCCCCTACCACCCAATTTTTTTTTACATACTTATATGTAACACCCTGTATAAAGTTATATCGTTGAGTTACAAAGGCTCTGACGCTTATTTTAATAGCTACAATGAAGCAAGCTACGATAAAGCAATTCGATAATGGGCCAAGCTACGACGCAGGTAATTGTTTATATATACATTGATTGTTTATGCACTAGGAGTTGTCAATGCGTTTTGGTGGATGATTTAATGTGAATCCGACCCCAGAACTTGGACGTAGTTGGACGCACACGGACCGACCAAAATTTAGGCATGGATTCTAGTTGATTCGATGTGGCAATAACGTTCTAGGTGGGTTTTGCACGGATCGGTCACAGTAGACGCGCGTGTTCTCGACTGAAGTGTCAAGTGTCAAAACCGCCAAGAGTAGGCAGATTAAGGCCTGGCGCACCAAACGCTCTATACGGCGTCAAAGCGTATTACTACCTGGACCTTTTATTAGCTATGGGAGGTTACGTGACGCTAATAAGCCCCCCAGGTACGATCATGAAATTGATAGAAATGGATAGAGGGCACCTTAACGAAGCGTCATCAATAAAAAAATCTGCGGAAGAGGCCCTAAATTTTCCACAATCTTAATTTAAAGTTCAATTCATTTCGTCGAAAGTGAGGTTATATTACTCCAAATTTCATGATTGTTTTTCAGTTGATAGTGGTGTTCTTAACATTCCTGAGTGCCAACTTTAGTTAGTTTCCTAAGAGGTTATGTTATTTTTCCACGATTTAATTAACTTTCAACAATGATATACAACATTATACATGTGTTTTTAATTATACTCGTATCATAATAGCAGTAAGTAGTTCTTGTATTACATTGCTAAGCAGCTATTCATAAGGAAAAGGCGTTCCTAGTTAAGCGGCGATCGCTAACGTAGCTGCGATCCATGGAAAATGCGAGAGATGTTCCTTCCCCTCTCGACCGTATTAGGCGGTGGATGCTAAGCGGCGATTGATACGAAAAAGGCGTTCCAAGTTAAGCAGTGATCGCTAATGTAGCTGCGATTCGTGGAAAATGCAAGAGATGTTCCTTCCCATCTCTTCCCGTACTAGGCGGTATGCATGAAATGCCCGGGTTTCCCCTCTCGGTGATCAATACAGAGAAATCAATTTTTGTCACATGGAACTGTCGCTTATTTGGTGTTTAAGTCGAACAAAACCTAAAATTGTATTGTATATTATACCTGTTGTACTACTTTTATTACATTCTCTTAATATACACGTTAAACCCAACATATTTCATTTTAGTAGACGAAAAAGTTAACATAACCTCCTACAAAAATTTGCTGTCACCTTTGTTTATTAGTGGAAAAAGTGCTGTCACGTAAAATTTTTCAGCTTCGCCAACTTAAGAATGACACAATATACGTAAAATAACACCAGATTTCCAGAAAATGAGGTGAACTTTTAATTAAGATTGTGGAAAATTTAGGCCCTCTTCCGCAAATTTTTTTATTCTAAACGTGTTATTAAGGTGTCCTCTATCCATTTCTATCAGGGTATTTGCATGTTTTTTTTTATTATACAGAAGCAAAGGACACGTAGATAGAAGTCACGTGTTATACAAAAAAAAAACAAAATCTTAAGCATTACTTGAGAAATTTGGCACTAAAATTCAAACTAGCAAAGTTCCCGCCAAAACGCCTCGCAAGGTTACACAGTGCGACGTGACGTCACTCCTTTTACGATTTGTTATGGCTGCATGTAACTTATGCTTTGTGTGCGCGTAATAATGCGTTCATTTGGCTGTTAATTTGGGTTTATCGTGTTTGACTGTATTTTGTGATTTGGGAACGTTGGCGAGTATCCGTGATAAGACTTAGTGTTCATTTTCGTAGTATTAATATTGTTAAATAAGTGATTAAAGCGCAAACAAACAATGAGCGCTCCGAATAAGTGGTGTTTTGTTCCTGGTTGTACGACTACGTCGAAAAATAATCCAAACAAGATTTTCGTTACTGTGCCACAAGAATATCGTCGCAAAAAACTATGGTTCAAAGCAGCAAGACGAGATTTTCCAAAATCAAAGTGTTTGTTTTTCTGCTGTGTAGATCATTTCAATGTAGGTTTTTCCTAGATTAACAGTTAGGTGCATTTCTTAATTAAATGATTTTTTGTAGTTAGAGGAGGATATGCAAAACTACATGCGATTTAAATTAGCGGGAGGAAATATAATAATCAAACCGGATGTTGTACCGCACATTTTTGACTGCCAGCCTGACCGAAAGAGAGCGGCAACTGCACCTCAGCGTACATTACCTCTTAAAAGGCAAAGAATGCGGCTTGTAGAAGAAGCTCTAACTCGACAAGAATCTTCTTCAAACTTAGAAACACCATCAACAAGTCACACAAGTAAGTGTATCTACTGTAGGTACATATTTTGTTAAATAAAATTGCATTTGTGTTTGTCAGTAGGTACAATATTTGTAACTTGTATTAAAACAGATTATTCGTAGGCCTTCATACTCTACAAGACGAACCTCAAGAACCAGCCGAAAAGGAAGAAGAACTGAGAAAACATGTTGCAATACAAGTGCGACCCTCATTCCGGAGCAAGTACGTACAGTGTCATATAACCAGTTCGGTGCAACATATGGCAGTTTCACCAATAAAATTACCACAAACATCAGATGTCAGTACTTCTCCACATGTGAAAATGACACCAATAAAGAAAGTACTCTTCTCTATCAGCAGTAGCAGTGATACAGAAGACATTGAATCGAGCTCTGTTGTACCAAGTACTTCGAGCAGTGAAATGGACACCCTGAAGGATACGGAAAGCGAGGCAAAGCAAGCATTGCAGACAACACTCACACTGATTGAAAGGGTGCCAAAATATTACGTGGGTGTTCCACAGGCTTGGTTGTCAACTGTGATACAAATATTAAGTTCAAAGTCCAAACTTGCAACAGACAATATTCTATTAACATTAATGAAAATCAAACTTAACGATTCCTTTTTACGCTTAGGTCACATGTTCGGAATGTCTGCATCGAATGCATCCAGAATATTTACAAAGTGCTTATTTCCAATGGAAAATTATTTGAGAACCTTAATTTTTTGGCCTTCAGCTGAAAAAATTAAATACTTTCTGCCGATTGCATTTAGAGCTCATTACAGTAGTGTGCAGTCCATAATAGACTGTTTTGAAATAGAAATTGAGAAGCCAAAGGACTCTGTTAAACAAGCTCTTACTTGGTCCGAATATAAGAAATGTAATTCATTGAAATATTTGATTTCTTCAACGCCAGACGGTTTTATTAATTTTGTTTCTGATGGTTATGGAGGCAGGATAAGTGATTCTTTGTTGGTCAAAACATGTGGATATTTGTCACTTGTTCCTAGTGGATGTTCTGTAATGGCCGATAGAGGATTCAAAGATATTGGAAAAGACCTTCACGAGCAAAATTGTTGTTTAGTGAGACCTCCAAGCGTGTTGTCTTCAGCAAAACCGACAAAAATTGAAGTTATGGAAAGCAAAAGAATAGCTAGCTTACGTATACATATAGAAAGAGTTATTAGACGTGTAAGGGAATTTCAGTATCTAAAACCTCATTCTGTAATTAATCACAGTTTGATAGGGCACACCGATGCTGTTGTACAAATTGCTTGTGCATTAATTAATTTACAACACCCAATAATAAAACAAGAATAGTATCTACCTAATGCATTTGTTATTTATTTACCTACACTGTCAATCAATTTTGGATACACAAACATTTTCCAATTTTCTACAGCTAATAAAATTAAATTATTTACAAATTGCTCATCAAAATATAAGTGGATTAACTGTACATCATGATCTTTTTCAAACTCTGGAGATGCTACACAAAACCAACCCTCTTTCCTACCTGTACACAACATCTGTAAATTTACTTGTGCCCTAAATTTTGTTGTTATGTCACCGTCTTTAATATATAGTTTGGCTGACTTGGCACTGCTTGGACATTTAATTTCTATGACATACTTTTCTGTAATTCCATCCGGTGAAGCTCCCAATACAGGAAACATGGGCAACGTGAAGAAACCACAAGGATTCACCTTATACTTCAATTTTTCCTCCACACGCTTAAGCACCTGGTGTTCTAGCAGCCTACCCCTTTTCATAAATCTGGTATCCATAACTTTATATGCACCTATTACCCCTTCTATCAGCGTACCATCAGCGGTTTTGCAATGTGCAAACTCGTATAACTTTGATGCTGTGATGCGCCCAAACCGCAACTCATGCCACAGTGGCGATTTGGCCTGCAGCTTAGTCATTTTTGCCGCATCAGTACATACCGAGGGTATCATGCGAGTTGTAGCGAACTTTAAAAAATCACTGCACTCAGAACCGCCCTCAGCTGCAAATTTGCACATTAGCTTGTATACTGACAAACATTCAAATTTATCCTCATATGCGTCTGAAGTGTATTTTAGAAGATGCCCTGTCAAATTCGCACTTTCGGCAGCTTTTGTAAGTTCCGGTACAATAGTAGCTGCCTCGCTAGGCCCCGGAGTAGTATTTCTTGTCTTCCGAAACTCGGCTGCTGTTACGAATTTCAGAGACGTTCCCACCGCTGACAACCGCGGCTTCTTCCAATACGATGTTATTTCAGTTGGTGATGGCTCTTCGCTCCTCCGGTGCACCCACATTAAAAAGGCAAGTGCATGTTTGCAACCACCTTGGAGTAAAGAAAATCAAAATCATAATACAAGAACACACAGTTGCATACTTTACCTGCTGATGCGGCACAATCTTTGCATTCAACATTAACAATCTTTTCTTCGGCTTCGTCCACGGTCATTGAAACGGTATAATGTTTGGCCCGTACTTTGTGTTCGGGGCAGATTTTGCACTGCAGTGTGCAAAGTGAGTTTGCTCTCTTCAGCTCAACGTAACCTACGGCGTTATCTCCATATTCTTCACGACCGGCGCTATAAAAACAACAAACAAATCTATTGTAACCTCATAAACGTGTCATTTACGTTACAAAATATATGTGTAATTAGCAAACAGCAAATATTAATCTCCACAGTAGGTAATTCTAGGAATTATGTATTTCATTTTACTTACGCTGCCGCTTTTATGCCTCTTATCTCCGCTGCATTAAATCTATCATCATTCTTTATAAATTCCATAACCATAAATATATCCACCGATGGTAGGTTATTTGAGCCAGCCTTGACGAACCCTTCCTCTGAAGTCATGACTCCAATTTTATCTTCGTTTTTAATAAACACAATTGACAATGAACTAACGAACCACACAGTACACAATGTAAAATATCGATAACCGCTAACCGCTGCACGCGCCAACACACTGCAAATTGTAAACAAACATGGCGGCGTAAAAGGAGTGACGTCACAACCAATGATATTCCGTTTCAGTTCCCACTTTAAAATGGTGTATTTCCTTGCACTTTTTAATTAAAATTTTTATTAAACTAGGACATTACAAATTTTTTAGCTTTGCTAAACTCATTACAGAAGCGCTCTTCTGTACGATAGGGCAAGATTCTTTTAAATATAAATTTAGTGCAACTACCCTATTTCATGATCATACCTGGGGGGCTTATTAGCGTCACTTACCCGCTATGATGCGTTTATTTAGTCATAGGGTGTTTAGTAATAGTGAATTCATATTAGACATAGTTGTTCATAGTCTAAAGGTGGGTTCATAGTTCTCCGTTCATCCGTTGCGTTGATCCGTCAAACGGATAGTACATTTTGGTAAGGTTCATAGCAATCCGTCCACATTGTACATTTGCAACGTATATCCATAACCTACATTTTATTTTGTACTGTACCCTCCGTGATTTTCAGTATGTAAAAATGGTACGAAAGTAAGAACACGTTTCTATCTGAGTATTACCGTGAAGAACGAATAGGCGAACACTGTTAACGTACCAAACATAACCTCACTCTTGTTAAAAACGGACCAACGGAAACATAAGTGTTCAACATCAACCAACTTTTCCGTCGTAAACGGACGACGTACGATTTAAAAATTTGCTGTCTTCTGATTGGCTAACGGACAAACGGAAACGTATGATCCCACATAAAGGTGGGTTCATAGCTCTCCGTTCGTCCGTTGCGTTGATCCGTCAAACGGATAGTGAACTTTGTTAAGGTTCATAGCATTCCGTCCATATCGTACGTTTACAAGGTACCTACAACCATAACCAAAATTATATTTTGTACTGTATTCACCGTGATCTTCAGTACCTACGTGGAAACTACTATCAGATTATCACCGCGAAGAACCTAATTGGCGAACACTGTTAAATTAGCTCTTAAACGTCAACAGTATAACAAACATAACCTTACTCTTCAACTTCAACCAACTTTTCCGTTGTAAATTGACGACGTACGGTTTAAAAATTTACTGTGTTCTGATTGGTTAACGGATAAACGGAAACGTATGAACGGAGACATATGAACCCACCTTAAGGTCAACGTACGTTTTTTAGCAATCTTAATATGTAAACAAACACATTGGAAATGGGTTTCTTAAGAAAAGAGGGCACCCTTATTTAAAATTAAAGTAATTAATATTTCTGCCTGCTTCTCACACATGGAGAGAACGCATGCGCACTTTCTCACATTTATGCGTAAACCACAATCAGCTGATCAGCTTCTACGTCTTTCTCTTTCAGACGGAACAGTACGGTTGCCGCATTTGTAAGTAGCGCGCGAGAGAGAAACATGTATACTGTTCCGTGTGAAAGAGAAAGACGCAGCGTAACCGTTGATTGTGGTGTACGCATGGATGTGAGAGAGTGCGCTTGCGCTCTCTCCATGTGTGAGAAGCAGGCAGAAATATTAATTACATTAAAATTAATTAAGGGTACTGTTGACTGAATTTTCTTAAGCAACCCATTTCGAATGTGATTGTTGACATTACAGATGAGCGAAGGTTTACCATATGTGGGATCTTGTATTATTAGTACTGTAAGCTGCCACGAAATCAATACTTTTTTTTGTTCGTGTTGTGAACGAGATTTATGCCATTGAAAACCCGGCAATTTAATTCTATCAAGCATAAGGAATGGGGATATCCGAACTGACATTATCATTTCGCTAATTGTCACAAATCTACTTAAAAGGGGGATCAGAGCGACCACTGGGACGCATTTCTGAAGTAACTGTAGACGATTGGGTTGCGATATGCCCCAAACAGTAGATTGCCCATCTGTTTATTCTTAATTCTTGCTAAGAGAAAAATCACTGCCACTAATAAATTCAACAAAGTTTTTCCCCGGCGACATTCCAAATTCCGCACCGCCGCCCGAACTGATCGACACCTGCGTTGCTTATCTCACACGTGGCATTGTTTATCTCAAAACCTTTTAAATCAGGTAAAAATTAGACTACTTGTTCCTTTGTTTATGCATTTTAAATTTATCATACAAACTAAATGTCAGAAAGAGAATTACATGGATTAAACAATTTACAATAAGGAACTAAGTAATTAAAATGACTATTCAATTCATCTAACATTTGTCACATTTCAACCAGTGAAATGTCTCGATTTCAAATTGCTGCGCCAATGGGAACGAATTATAGTGACAATTCAACTCATGTATAAAAAATCGCATAAGCCGCAGTGAAATTGTCACTTTGACAGCGGCAAAAGTTACCTGCAACTTTTCCAGCGACAAATGCACTTAGTGGTTTTTTCACTTATTCATTTTCGAACCAATTATCGCATTATCCTTACCCATATGACTAGTTTGACGTCTGTCAATAATTGATTAGTTTGGTGAATTTCTTGTTCGTTAAATTCTCCTGCCGAATTACACTCGAGGTTTGTATTTAAACCGAATAAATTTGGGTTGTGGCAATTCAAATCTGTTTCCTTTTAGCAATTGGACTCGAAAAACTGTCAACCTAAAAATGCTCCACCTGCGGTGTCCCATTTTTATTAGTTGACAGTTTTTCTCGTCGAATTGCTAGGCAACAGATTTTCATTACCTTAACAACCCAAATTTACTCGGTAAAATACAAACCTCTTGTGCAATTATAAGTGATAATTTCACGTGTGGTATTTCAGCGACAATTCAATGCGATTAATCAATGACATTTGTCAAACTTCCACCAGTGAAATGACGCGAAATTTTGTCGTATTAACCGGAACATTCTTCTTAGTTTGTTAATCAATTTCGACAACCGACTTATCACCACATCTTTTAATTTAATCACTCATAACGAATTAGCTTGGAGCACGAAAGTTCGAATAGAATCAATAGCAAAATGAAAAGCAACTTCCATAATTTATTTTGACGTTTATTGTTGTCATGGAAATACATTCGCGTGGGTAATTATGCCTAATTTTTCTTTTGATTCATTGAATAGTCCTCCGAATACCATTCGTAGTCGAAGTATTTGTAGATTATTTTTGAGCTGCTGCTCCACTCATGCTAGTTACGCTTTTTAATACCACTCGCGCAAGCGCTCGTGGTATTAATCAGCGTAACTAGCATTCATGACAGCACCTCAAAAATATTCGACAATACTTCGACTACTTATGGTATTATATATGACAATTCAACAGTTCCTCATTCTCTGTCAATTCCAAATAAACAAATTCTCAGGTCTTATGAAGAAACTTGAATTATTTTTCATACAGGATATCACGACTGGCAGTTTCGATACTTAAAAAGATAATGCTTATTTTTTACACTACAAGGTATTAATATCTAGAGATATCTAGCCTAGGCGACGTTATTGATCACCAGGAATTTGATTGACAAGACGTTAGACGTTATTGAACTTATTCAATGCATTTAAGACCATCATGCCTGCTAAATGGATAGAGTTGGCTTCTTCAAATCTAAAGGGAGACGCTTTCAGCTCATAAAAAGACATATTAAAATGTGTCTTAAAGTCAACGTCAACGCAATATATCTGCAGATGTATTACGTACTGTTGCCGAGTGTCAGAAAGTGGATAAATGTGAAGGAGCAATAAACAAAATCGTAGAATTCACAATGTGTCAAATTGATGCAGCACGAGGCTTAGCCTTTATTGGATTTAGTTGAAATGTTCTTTTATAGGGTGTTGCATTTTACATCTCTCACGTTTCCTGCATTCGGAAGGTATAAAAACCTAATAAAAGTGTTGGCGTTTACCGTTAATAACGATCCCATCCTTACTCTTTCTATTTTTCAAACCCTAATATACTACGTTATTATTCAGCCATACAAACAAAGAATGGAAGTTGTTAAAAACAAGATAAAATAAGACAAACGCATTTGTTTCGCGCTAGGTTTACATTTGAACCTGAAAGGAAATCCATGTATTACCGTGACATCTCATGAGGCGCAGTCAAAAACTATAAATTAGGATGTAAAACGGATTTTCCAAGTTACTACGAAAGCGAGAGTCTAGTTTCTTCGTAATTAAGTTTGCAACAAGCTTTCGACATAGGTTAATCAATTAACAGCCGAACTTTTCAACGATACCTCAAAACCTGAAGTCGATCGTAAAAGAAAACATTTGAACATATAAATTCGCACAGTAAATTTGATAAATAAGGCCGCGAGCACATAAGTTTTCTGTTTTCAAGTTTGTACCGTTTTCCTTTTTAAACGAAAGTCGAGTAAACATGATGTACATTTTTATGTAGAGTAAATAGGATGATGGGTAGAGTCGAAGGAAGAAATCAGCATTACTCAAACTGTTAGCATTTTAGTGAGTGTAGAAAATCAGTTTCCAGTCTTTTTAAAAACAATTCAGTCACCATGATTTTCACTTAGCAGCCAGGTAATTTTTTGTGAAATTAATTAAATTATTTGTTTGGTAGGGTTCTTCGCATCTTCCAAGTTACTAGTGGAGCTCCTGATTCTGAGATTTGTCGTTTTCCTACCGCGGATATTGGTCATTTGATAAAACCCGCTACTAACTTCTGGTGTGCTAATTTTAATCCCTCCTGAATGACCCCAATATTTTTCTTCTGAAACGTTCACTTAGCTCTTTTTCGCCTCGGATTCCTTCCTCCACCTGGCTCTGATCAGCTGAGTTTACCGATCCGCTTTAATGTCTTGTATCACTTCCATACATATTTCGTCTATTTTTTTTTCGAAAATCTTGTTCATTTTCTGTGATTTTTCAGTTTTCTTCAACCCACACCTCTTCATTTCTTCTCGGAATTCTATTTGACGTTTTCGGTACGTTTCCAACATACTTATTACATTCCGGAGTGCTCCTTGGATATCGACGTCTTCTGACTGTAGGATGTCGTCATTTGCTTTCATATCTGAAACAAAATAATCGAACAATGA